GGAATCAAACATTTCCTCTTTTAAAAAAGCAATTTAGTTTTATACAATATTGTTAATCGGATGCTTTTAACAACGTGATTCAAAATTGGGAATAGAAAAAAATTTCACAAACATGAATTGAATTTCATGATCAATCTCTTTGAGGAGAAGGTGGGATTATGGGTCACTTTTTGTTTTTACTGAATTATATTATACTCTGTTAAATTATCGCTCGCAAAATAAACGAATGAACTATATTAAAGACTGGACCATAATCCTACCTTCTCCTCTATTACTTTATAGAAAACTATATGTTCAAAGTTACCGAATATTTTTGATAAAAATTAAATTTTACCATATTCAATTCAATCTTTGTAAATAAAAATTGGTCATTTACTATTCTGAACTAGGAAACATCATCATTAGAGTTAGTATCATAAATTTTTAATTTCACTGCGAGTGACTTAAATTTTTCACAAAAGCAATTTTCGTATTCTCCGCACATTTCAGATAATTTAAGAAAATTGTTCTACCTCTTTGAAATAAAATATGTCTAGTAAATTAAATAAAACACAATGCTTTGCATTCGTTCTTGACGATAGAACGAATGTCAAAGTTAAGATTATATTACTTACGTATAAAAGAAACCGGATAATTCAATTCAATCTGAATAAAATCTGAATAAAGACAACAGTGAAGTAATAAGCTATACGTATTTTTCAGTATTTTTACATGAAGATAACAATTCAAGAGTACTCATTGCATAAACTATACACTCGATTGGTATGGCAAGTGTCCCGGCTTTTCTCTGCAACGTATCTGCATTCAGTTGCCATAAATTTTTTCCCTATTTTCTACATTTATGTTATTTTCTTTTATTCTCTTCGTGGTATTGCTTCCTTTACCCGGTTATAAGTTAATTTTAATTTTCTTATCCGACAATCACTTGTATAATATTTCTCGTTGCATTTCTGGTAGAAATTCTAAAGAGACAATCGAAGGAAGTTTCAAGAATCTTTTATAAGTATTAAAACACATACTAGCAAAGGAACTTGTAAATCTGTTGAAATTTCTTTGATATTTGCTCAATTTGTACTAGCGAAAATAGAGTTTTTCGATATCTACTAATTTCGTTATAAAATTATGTATTATCGAAATGCTTAAATTTATAACGATTGTATGAATATTTTCAAAGTTGTTCTTCTCTGAATAATATATTTAAAGTTTAAATGATAATATTATTTTAAAATTAATTTTCAAATAATTCTTATGAAATACGTATTGAATGAAATAGAATCTTAAAAAGCCTACAAGAAACATTATTTAAAATATTTATAAATACAATTATATGTTTTAATTAAACAAATGTTATCACGATTGTAGAAAGAATTAAAATTCTAAGCATGAAAGAAGCTCACGAAATAACTAGTAAATACTATCAGACATTTTAAAAAAATGAATATAACATATACGCTTGTGGCAGAATTAAAATAAATGAATTTATAACGTCATTGTAATATTCCTTGTGGTTGCTATCTCAGTCACGTATCTCGCGATATGAGACCACGAGGATTCAAAAGCAGAAAGTCGAGAGAGCGGCTGTAAATGTACGTGTACGATGGTCCATAAGTACATCAGAAAGTATGAGGACGTGTACAGGCTAATCTCCATGAACTACCCCCGTGCTAATCGAGAACCAAGCAATTAATTTGAGCACGCACCACACCAACCCAGTAGCATTACCGTCAAGCGTATGTGTCGCTTTCTAGGGGGAGATGCACATTTGCCAACGAGAATCGGGTGGTTTTCATCCACTAACCACTATCCGAGATGCAATATTCCCTGTATTATATCTTCGTACAACATCTCCCTTTTTCTTCTGTAATATCACTAATACTTGCATTCATTTGCCAAAACTTGAAAATTGTCCCAGTGGAATTCTCACGTATACGAGCTGCATAGTATAGGGGAAATTACTAATTGCTTCGCATCGATCATTCTGATATTTGAACATTTTTGTTCACTCCACATGTTGCACAGCACGATTGTTGCCGGAAGCGGAAATAACCCAAGCACTTTATCCTAAGGATAAAGTACCATTGCTCCTAAACTCTTTAATTTATTTCTAATGATATTCTACAACTATACAACTTATTAAAGCTCAATTATACTTACTCTTGATAATGGTTAGTAAAAATCATTATTCAAACTTTGTTTTTTAAATTACTTTTTATATCATAAGTAGTAAGATGAAGTATGAAAGGAATCATAGCTAGATCTATTTATTAATAAACATAACAAAATATAATTTAATTAAGCTTTACTTGCTTCATAGTAAAAATAATCATTATTATTATTATTATCAAACTGTAAAGAAGGCATTTGATAATCAAGATACATAAGAATTGGAAAAGTAATGTGCTTTTTTGAATAAATTTAAATTAAAAGAATATAAATTATCAAATAGTTCGAAATATAAAAAAATTTTGTAGGGAATTCGTGATAACTTTGAATTATATAGAAGTTCAAATTATCACAGGTTTGAATTAACGAGAGTCGATAGTAGATATTATAACTTTTAGAGATTATTTTTTTATAAAATCATTTAAAACACTTTTGATCAGATGAATGATCAGATATAAGTTGATAATAAGATATAAAAAGAATGATGAAAATAACTTATGCAAAACTACATTAAAGTTAATACTACAAGAATGTAAAAGTAACTCAAGAACAGATCGTCGTTTAGTTTAAAACAAGTCAAAATGAAGTGTATATCTGTATAGATCTTAGACTTTTGCTCTACTCAAGATGATAACAAACACAATGTCGAGTAACTGATGGTGAACGAAATAGAAACAGTGAAAATGGTTCAACTGTCTGCAAATATTCTAGACTGAGTTGAAGTGAAACAGGAAGAAGGGAAGCAGTTGATGACGGAACCCAAGAGAAAATAGAAAGACAGCGAGAGGAAAAGAAAAACGTATCGGTCTGGGATAATCGAGAATCCAAGTCCTTCCAAGAAACTATGACTTGGTTGAGAACTCTGAAGAGATATAGATCGTCGCCGCAAGGCAACCTTAAGTTCATCCCTTGCCAAGAGTTGCTTCTATGGTCTAAGAAACATGTTTTATATGTATATATATTTCTATATACCTTCTAGTTTTTCTTTCTGTACTCCTTTCTACTACTCCAGCAAACACTGTTGTCAAAATTGACCAACATGATAGCATACATACTTTAGTGGTGGTTTATCTGATCGCATAGTCCAAATAATTCTCCCAAATTTCTCGATATACTTTTAACGCTTGGAGATGCCGACAGTTTGTATACATACACTCCAAATTCATGTTAAATTCCATTCAAGCACAGGGAAATTCCAACGGAAATTGAACTGCAAAATTCAAATATGAAAGTAATATTTATCGTGAAGTTTTGGAAAAAATATATCAAAAATCGGCTTTACTCAGAAATCTGGATAAACTTATATGACATGTGTAATTCTTACAATTAAAATAAATAATGATTTTTAGTATTTATTAATTATGGAAAAATTGTTTTAAATAATAAAAATAAATCATTTCTTCATATGTCAATAATTTTTCTATGCTCTGAAACATTATATTTTTTTCATAAAACAACAACAAAATTTTTAAAATTACTTCAAGATACAATTTATTTTAACATCATCTCAGAACGCTTTATTATCATGAAAATTTTACAAAGGAATGTAATACTAAAACCAAAATATGAAATAAAATTAGTTAGTCAATTATGCAAAATACTCGTAAAGTATGACGAGCATCTGAAGAACTTTTATTTTATTTCTTTTCCCTTCTAACTATTTCTCTTTGATGTGGACTGAGGTCGGATTAACATGGTTTAAATTTCTACTCAGCTCACGGGCTGTCTCTCAACGAAACATGAGGATTATGGTTACCAGAGAAACCTCAATCACAGATCTCTAATCATGGGATACAGCCCCCGATCTCTAACAACAGTGCGTGTAGTATTTTAGCAAATTTTCCGAAGTAGATTAACAAGGCAGAAACGAACATAAGCCACGTAGTAGTCAAAATACCAGACACGCATAAGCTTTTCGAGCAAGTATATACTGTTCAAACTGAATACTAGGATCAAATGATTGAACACCACATGCACGGAATACGAATGCCCTCAAGTATCACAGATCAGCGTGTCATCAACCGAAAGAATCATTTCATACATGCTGAGAGACTCACGTCAGTGAAAACAGTCGTAATCGATCAGACTGTCGATACGAACTTTCATGTGGATTTGGATATAGACGGGTGATGGATTTTCCGTTACAATAGTAGACATCATTTTATGATAGATATTATTTACTTCCACTCACTTTTTATCACATATTACTTCAACAATAAATAACAGTTATATTATTCAAACAAATATAAAAAAATCGTTTTCGTTGATATTATTATACATTATGTATTTATTCTGCCATTAACGTGCATAAGAGAAGTAATATTTATAAAAAAAATAAAATAAAAAGTATTGATTTTCGCTTACAATGATTATGATAGATTTTCATGACTTTATCCAATTCAGAACCCTTAGAATCCATACAAATGGGTTTTAGAAAACTGTCTGTCCATCTGTTTGTTCAGTAAATGAACTACTATCTTAAGAAAACGTCTAGAAGTCTTTTTTTTTTGGTGATAAAATTCAGCCTTCGAAAATGTTTTTTTTTCTTTACTGTGATTGAGTATTGTTCTTATCAATATTACCCTCAATTTATATACTTTTATTATAGAGTTACAATTTTATATGTATGAAAAAAAAATTGTCATTATATCTTGAGAATTTTGGTGACCAAAATTTCATCATACCTTCACACGCAAGCTCGTGTGAATTTCACTTTTAGTTTATAAAACAATGTTCTTGCTTGTTTTCGTGCCCACACAACATAAAACTATAACTCACACTACAACTTCGAGTATCTTTGAATTTGTTGTTTTGTTTACATGTTACAGGAAGTTTTATTTTTATTAATTTATTTTCTAATCTTCATTACAAAAAATTGTTATAAAATATCAGCCTCAATGAATTATTTATTTAAATACTCCATTATCATGATAAAGTTCACACCACTTTATCTGAAGAAATATTTTCATTCTTTTTTGCCTAGGTGGTAAATTTAGTAGGTAAACAAATATAAACTACCAAATACTCCGCTGAAATTTTTGTAGCAAATATCACAGCGATGTCGTAATGCACATGGTAGTAAAAACTCGAAAAATCTTAAATTGGCTGATTCAGCGGAAAGTTACTTACTAAAAGGTGGAATATAAGTTGAAGCTTTTATGGAAGAAACCACACTCAACTTACAAAAAAGCTCAAGTTTGTGCTGAACGGAACAATAAAGTTTACAACGATGATATCTACTCGTCTTTATATTTCTCGTCAAATCAGATTTTTTCGATAACTGATTTTTATATATCAGTGAAACTCAAATGTTTGATCTTTAGTCGTTTTTCATACTTTCACTCTACTTTTAATGAATCGCCTAGTTAATTTTAATAAATTTTTCATTCTTATCTTTGATTCTTTTATTTTTAATGACTGAATTTTAACTGTTGAATAATAAGAAGTATGATTTTTTTTATTTCGATACAGTACTTTCAGTACTTTTTATTCCTGTTCAACTTTATTTATAGATTATTTGCGAATGATTTATGTAAATTTTTTTTCACAAGTATCCACTTTTGTAAACAAAAAACTCATCAGTTACGTGACTTTATGCATTGAATATTCCTTTAAAAACATATTTAAGTTTTTCATGAGTTTCTATTTTCTTTTTTTCTTTTTATTTCTTCCTCGAATTTTCTTTCTCATTTCCATCATGCAAAACTCTCATTTCAAACAAGTAAATGAATTTGTAGCTGTTATATTTGCTTATTAATTTTCACGAAGAAACAAGCAAGTTTAAATCCTCTAGTCATTTTCCTTTTAACTCATAAAAATCCATTAGAATAATCAAAATAATAAATCACGTTTGTGTTAACACAAGTTTACTTGACAATATTTTTGTTGTCCAACGTCACAATACTAGTAATTTTGAAACCTTATTTAACCTAGCAAAGAAACTTTAAATATTAACATCGAGTGTCTTTATTACAACCTCAGTCTGAATTAATTCAGCTTCTTTTGAACTTTCTACGTTCATTAACATCAATACTTGATGAATTTTCTTGATCATTACAAAAAAAATTCAACTTTTGTTTTATTTAAATATTTCTAAATAAATTTCGACAAATTTAATTAAAATGGAAACTACAAAACTTATTTTTTTTCTTACAACCTAAAAATTAATCGCTTAAACTTGAGCTTGAGCAACTCTGATATTCTGATTTTCAGTTGATTTCAATGAAGATACTGGTAATTTTTTATAAAGATCACTATTACAGTTAACAACCTTATTGATCGAAGTCATTAGCAAGATTAATCTATCGAAATCAGGCATTGGCCAAATACCATCAAATAATAAATTTAATCACTGAAATACGTCTATTTCCCTGTTAAATTGAAGCTGCTTTAAACGACAGAAAGTCCAGATAATAAAATATAGGTGAGTGTATTGAATAAAAAATATCAATTCAGCAACTTGCAATCTCATTTTCCAATAAATTTCAATCGAAAAATAGTATTATTTGTTTTCAAAGGAAAAAATTTACCTCTTAATTAATATCTTCATAAGAAATTCTCCAAAGATTTATTCATTTATTACAAATGTTCAAAGTAATTAGATCCATTATGAATCGAATTGCATATTTCACTACCTTTTTCTATTGAATCAAAATAAAAAAAAACAATGTCCAATGTTACTTTCTGTTCAAATAGCTTTGAAGACCTCCCTAACTACTAAGACAATCTCATGAGAAACTGATCACTTTGTGGTCAATTAATTTTAACGAGGTCAGAGAAGTCCAATAGTTCTAAAGGAACTCACACGTATCTTGTTAGTCATTGTGTCCATACATATAAACCAAAGTTAAATAAACCGAAAAAATAACCAAACGATAGAGCTTTTTTAAGAGAATTTCTTTACTTTTCAAGAAAACGATCGAATAAACTACCGACATGCTATTCGTATATTAAAATACATTGCCATGTCGGTGTCGTAAATCTTCCAGATCTGAGAAAAATACGACGAGCAATATCGAAAGTAGTTTATAGCAATATGTGAAGTCTCGTTCAATAAGATCACTGAATGCGTTTTTCAATAAATAGTAAAAGCGTGCTCCGCACTGTTGAACACATCACCATTATATTTCACATTCAATGTACCTAATGTCTCTTTTATTTCAGCATTTGTACAAGCATAATAACTATTTTTAAATATCTTCAATGAATATATCATTATTTGTAATCATATCGTTTTATGTAGTACTGCATTTTTTACTGTTTTTTCTATCTCATCTTTTATATCTCAAGACCTCATGCAAGTTTGAGTGTTTGTAGAACCTCCACATTCCCGTGCAACCATTCGGTAACCCGAAAGATAATATTTATTCATGAAAACATTTCAAATTCCGATGGCAAAATTGCTGGGCTCATGTTCGCTTTCACCTCATGCCTCTTTTTTCCTTATATATCTGTGGCTTCCCTCCACCTTTCGATTGAATTGTTGCAATATCTTGTTTCGAGACAACGAGAACTTGATAGTCGACGATTGCTTACAAAATTGTATTCTGAAACAGTAAAACAAGATTTCATCAGCAAAGTTTTGCCCAAAATTTAAATATTTATACTGCTGTAATATTTTCAATCTATTTATTCAAACTTTATTATTGCTACTATCATAATTATATTGAGTAATTTATTCTTATCTAACTACAGAATAAATTGAAATTATTTTATTTAAATAAACTTTTTTATCTACAAATCTTAAGTGCTTCACAAGATTATGATGTCTACAGAAATTATTTGTTTATGCAAAAAATATAAAATTAAAATAAAACGTCAATATATGCCAAAAATTCAGAAATAGGATATATTTTAAAGCTTATAAGCTGTATTTTAAATAAAATCTTTGATATTGACTACTGCAGAGTTTTTATTCGAACCCTCGACAGTACTTTGAGGGTTGCGTGCTGAACAAGAATGTGTTATTTGCTTCATTGCAAGTTGTACATTTATCATGTCCTTGTGCTCCCTTTGCGAATTGAATCGACAAACGAGAAACCTATTACCTTGCAATTGAGAATTAGAGTAAGTGGAAATCGCATAGATTTACAGCTAAGACAGTTACTTTCCTTATTACACATACAGTCACGTATTCGTTGATACATCATGCTGGAAATAGAGAACAATTCTACAATGCACCTTGTTAAACATGACAAAGGAAAAGCCTGAAGCAATCATACTTACTCACGAAACAATACGAGTACGTGAGTTCTGACTGATACAGAAATATACACTAACAGTTCGTCTACTCATCTGCTACCAATCAGCTTTATTCTTTGGTGTGAAAAGCTGTTATCCAATATCCTGATGGTATTTCTTGAATTCAAAGCATCAATTGAATCGATAATAAAAAGAAGTCTTGATGAAAACAAGGCGTTTACAGGAGTTAAAAGAGTGTTTCCAACGGTCCTCAATACACTTCTCAAACTTTTCAAGACTATGAACCAGACGAAGGATAATTAATTTTAAATTCTTTCAAGAATAAATACAAACTTTTTTTCGTTAATTTATACTTTTTTACAATGTAGTTAATTGCAAAAATATTTTTAAGAAGCTTGAAGCAAATGAAGATTATTAATCACCTTAATTGATGAATAGTTTTTAGTTATGGTTTAATTTGTATTCTGATTAATTTAAAGCCTTCGAAAATCATTTAGTTTTTGAAAAGCAAAATTCATTTAAATATTCGAAAATTTATGAAATCAATATATATATATAAATTGTTTTTGAATATTTCACTAATTTTTAATTTGATTTTGCTTATATTTTGAAATATTTTTTATTCACAAGTGAATTGTTTATTCACTAATCATATCATGTTTTAATTATTAACTTTTCAATATTAATTAAATTTTTATCTGACCACCGGCTCGTTTTTTTTGTACAAAATTGTATAAACTCTCGTTAACAAATTTTATTAAAAGTGTTTTTTTTCAAATATAAAAACTTGATAAGCATCCGTTTTTAATTGTCTCTATTTTTCACAGTAATTAATTATCACTGCTGGTATCTGTCGGCCTGATATTTTTCATTCTTTCTATTTTTCTTGTCTATGTACTCGTTTTTTACCCGAGAGCCTCATTTTTTCAGTTTACATCAAGATAAGGAACCAACTTGTACCGAGTAGTTAGATGTGTTTACATTAGGATATCGTACATGTTCTCTCTATTGCTTACTCGCTTCAACAAATGTATGCGTTAGGCGTTTATCATCGTAAATCACGCATGACATGCACTCACTATGGGGGTATAGGGGCTTATTCGATCATAGCAAGCTGGTCTACTACTACATATTTCAATGTCAAAGGTTGATTAGGTAATCGGTGAATCTTTCAATTGAAAATACGCTGAATTACATCATCGTATGTAAAATTGCAAACAAAGATAACACAGAATTTATCAGAATTTGAGTTGCAGGCAATATAAACTGATATCGAGAAACAATATCAGTACAATTTTTTTTTGTTTACTATTACAGGTATCAAACCATGCAATTTCAGTTATTATAAATTACTAAAAAAGGTTTATTCAAATTATTAATTTCTTAATACTACATTTTATTAGTAATCTAAATTACAATACTTGACTTGTGCTTCAATTTACAGACATTATCCCTATTTCGTTTTCATATAGATCAAAAAATTTTATATGAAAAATATCGTCTGTAATGTCATATAACAAAGTATAAAAACTTACATAAACTTATATTTTCTATTAAACATTAACTTACAATCAATGAACAATATCTGCATATTTTTTCTTTTTCTTCATTTTCACAGGTATTGGAGCAGGCATTTTGAATAAAGTGCTATAAAAAAATCATTTTATTTAATACTTGAAACCCATGTGTAATAGATATTTTTATCGCTATAAATAGTATGTACTTACTGACAAGTTGTACAGATTGGGCTAAATTTACAGAAAACTAGCAAAGAAAATAAATAGTTATCAAATGTCACTTATTACTTTAATAAAGCTAATATGAATGAAGAAATCAAATTAAAAAACTTACTTGATAAACAAATAGAACAAACATAACCAATATCAACGAGTTCATGATGACAAAAACAAGCAGCTCTGTAATCAACTTTTACAGGTGGTGGTAGAACGAGTTTTGTTCGAACTGCTGGATCAGGAAGGAAAACCCACTGCATTTAAAAATAATAAATCAATTATTCAAGTATAATAATAGACATATTTTATATTTATTCAACATTAAACTAAATAAAAAAAAAATACCAGTAAATATTGAAGTAATCCAGCAATCTGTGGAATTTTCAAATAATTTCCACCCGTTATATCACAAGCCTGTTGTAACAACGTTAGCTCTTGATCCAAACTGCATACATCTATGATTATACCCTGCGTGATCATTAAAAATAGAATAATATAAAGCAGAAACATAATAATATACACTTTTTATACACGGAGAGAAATTTTTCACTAACTGTAAGTGCAAAAAGTGACCAGTCTACGTTTCGACGTTTTTGCACTTACATTTAGTGGAAAAATTATCTCCGTGTAGAACATAGAGCATGGTAAGCATTATTTTTCTACTAATCAAAAAAAAAATCAACAATAAATTATATGTATGCATTATATTATTATCTTTTCTTGATTTAGACATAATAAAATTAAAGTAAATTGTATGAATAACTTTCTCCATTCAATCAGAAGTTTATCGAGATATAAAAAATAAATTTTGTTTCAGTATTGAATTTTTAACAATTCAAATTGATAAATACTTAATCATATTATTGATATGAGTTTTGCAAATGAGTTATATTTACGGCTGATTAAACCCATAATTATATTTTTATTGAAACTGAATTAATTGTGCGTTGTAGCATAAATGCTTACTGATAAATCAACAACAAATTTTGATAACTCAATTTATCGAATACAAATACACTTAAAAATGTTTTTCTATTAATTTTTTTCCCCTTGACATCACAATAAAAGCATAATTGAATGTAAATTACTATTAGAAAAATACTTACCATTTTTTGTGATGTGAAGAATATATTCATGTAATTCATGTACTGAGTAGCAGAGTCATTGCTACCCGTAACAATTAAAATTCTAGAATGAAGTTTTACTCCAGGTATTTTGTCACGTTCCAGACGTGCAATATAACAGAGTGCTAATGACATAGCACCAGAAATTAAGCTCTCTTCATGTAAATTTTTAACACTTGCCAATTCATTGACTATTTCTTTTAACTTTTGTCGTATTGAAAATTCAACTAATGTAAATTTTTCGTACTGCCCATCAAATTGTCTTATTTCAGTCACTTTGTCGGTATCTGGATATAAAAACTTAGCCCCTTGACTGTGGCACGCAAGTATAATGAGTTCATTGTTGGGCGTTTGCATTAAATGAGCGTTTGCAAATACTATCACTGAATCAATACATTGTGTAAGAATTTTTGGATCATTTCTCTCAATTCTTTGCATTGGATTCACATCTAAAATGATTGTTAATACGCTTTTATCTATCTCTGCAAAAAAAATATTATGATAAAATAAAATTAATTTAATTTATGATCCTCAAAAATATATTACAAAAAAATTTAATATTGTTAATTATTATTATAAATAAGTAAATGAAAGTTAAATTTTTAGTAATATTTAATTGCATGATTATTATTTTAATAACTTTAGCAGTATTGAGGTTATAAAATTAAAACTTTAATATTTGAAGAAAAAAAATTATATCGTGTACAAATTTTCAATTTATTTCAATACATACCACTGGTCCCATTCATTCTCGAACAATTATGATAAATTTTAATTAATAAGTATTATTTCTACTGACTTTTTTAAAGAGTAACTAAATCGATGTTTGCATATTTACATGCCAGTATTTTGATACTACAACATACTTCTTTATCATCTGCTGATACATCAATGCACAATTTTTTGGGCTGATAAAAGAAACTAGAAAATTATCGCGCAACATTGAAATCTATTCTTTTAACGACACTTTGCACTTTTAATATTAATGCACTTTTCATGGACTACTTTTACAATTCATAATGTAAACATATCAAAGATCAATAAATAGTTTTATTTTTTTCTAATGATATTATCATAAAAATACTTTATCTTGCAATTTTAATACTCTAAGTTACGAACAATAAATTACTCAATAAAAGATTTTAGGTATTAAAATTCAAAAACTTAAAATTTAAAGCTATTCATATTTATTTTTCACATAATAATTTTATAAACAAAAGAAATGATAAATTTAACTTTCTTAACTAAATGTATACATTTAATTAAAACCGAGTATCATTTAGAACACATAGAATCAATTATTGATTTTTCTCTGTCATGAGTCTAATGAAAGCCTTCTCAGTAGCATAACACTTCATCAATTTCATAGCAGTCGTACAGTCGGTGTCACCTTCTGCAAATAATAAAAAAGAAAATTTAAGAATTATTGAAGTACTAAAAAATTCTATTATATAACTCTTCTCGAAAAATACTTACTCATGTCCTTGCATTTCATCATGACTCCTTCAATTTTGTCTTCAGGGAGATCATTCAACATCCTTTTGCGGGCTTTTTCTTCATTCAAAGTTCCGTCTGCATTCAACTAAAAAAAGATTAAATGTATCTAATGAATGTGAATAAATTAAAAAAATGTAAAATTCAAATAAAATCCTTAAACTTACAACTTTAATCTTTTTCATCATACAAGAAAAATAGCATTGTAAGTTACTGTCATCTTCCATCCATTCACCTTCCTTTGCTTTGTCAATCATAGCTAAAAGAAAATTATACAATATAAAAAAAAACTTAAAATCGAAAAATATTCAATGATTATTTTCTATTTGAAGTATTTTCATAGTTTCATATATTACAATAAAAAATATCTTTTTAAAGATCACTTGTCAGTCCGTTCGAATATTTGTCACAGACTGATAATTTTCAAACCATTTGCAACAAACATTTAAAATTCAAATGAGAGATGAATCTCAATAACTGATAGACATGACTGAAGTTAAACTTGGAAATAAAAAAGTTCTTTATCAAAATATTTAAAACTTGAATAACGGTTTGTATACACGAATTAAAAATGATGATTGTATATCCATCATAATTTATGGAAGATGAATTTGAATAATATTATTTAATATTAATGTTAATTTCAGTACATACTCTCAAAAAAATCAATAAAAAATTGTAATTAAGTATTAGTGCATTAATCAAATAATTTTGATAATTTTTATTGAATCTTTCATAAAAAATAAATTTATTCAATGAACTTACTTTCATCAACTTTAGTTTGCTCTATACATTCTTGTCTATATCCTCGAAGCTGAGCTAGTTTTTTCTCAGTGAGTTCACTCTGAAAAGTTTCGATTAAAAACGGTAAAAAAAAGTTTTTCGTAATCTTTGACATAAAATCATAGCGTAAAACTATACTTACAAAGACTCCAACAAAGCAAAGAGCGAAAATAAGAGCAAGAACTTTCATTTTGTGTCTTTTTGTGTTTTCCGCACAATAATCTATAAGAAAGCCTGTGAATTACTGGTCACATTTTCCAAAGAAGTCTCCTCTTTTATATGTTAAGGATAGGTAATCTTCAACGTCTAACAAGGTTATTAAAAATGGTGGGGTTGTGTCATACAAGATTAACGCTAATTTTTACTAGATGTTGATAACTTATTTCGATTTGAAAAAATACAAAACACCATTTGCTAAAGCAAACAAAAAATCGTAAACGGTAAAATTTAAATAAAAAAAAACTAAAAGTGTGAAAAAACTGAGCATTCGTTCAAATTTAAACAACAAATAATAACCAAAGTTTTTTCCTTTCTTGAATGTGTCTTTTGTTTTTTATTCTATCCTCTGACCTTTACTTCAGTGACGATTACAAACGCACAAAAGCTAATTATAATGATTATGGAGAGATCAAAGAGACCAAAAATTATTCGATAACCTAGATTACATCTGGTATGATTATATAAACTATTATTAGCATTAATACAATCATCTTCAAAGCAACATATTGTATAATTGTATATAGAACATAAATTAAGATATCTACTAAGATATCGAGTAAATAGGAATTAACTGTAAATAATTACACAAAGTTTCCTTCAATCACCTGATTAATTACATAAAAAAATTGATTCGTTGGACTATAAATATAGTTCAATAATATCGTAAAAAAACAACAAAATTAATTGACACATATGTACTTTACTATATTTTCATTTATGCATGTGCACATATTTCAATAAACAAATTATGATAAGTTTGATAAAATCATTAATTAAACAAAGTGGTCTTGTTATTCTCTTTGTTTTCTAATTTTTAGAAAACACAATATATGATCTCATTAATGGAATCTTCATCATTTAGATTAGGAACATTAAATAGTCTACTTAAACTCTGAACATCGGTCGAGTTGACAGACAGTTAAAGATTTTATAAATTGAATCTTTAAATAAATTTAACATTTTTATTTTTTTAAAGATTTAAGAAGAGCTGTTTTATACTGCATTGAATAATATATAATTAAATATAATACATCTGTTATTCAAGAAAGTGCTTATGTGAATAATGGTGATAATTGTTGGTGACACTGATGATAAAAATTCATCAATAATTCTATAATTGAAAAATATGCATTCTTATGGAGTTCTGTTTACTTCTCTAGACTAAAACGTTTTTGAATTTTTAATAGTTAGATAAATCTTACTTAATACAAATTTCTTACAGATATCGTTAATTATTCATTTCCACGCATATTACTGTCATGTTTATTGTTATTATGTAATAATCGACTGTTTTCAAAATGAATATAACTTTTTATGTAGTATTCAATGCAGTTTTGAAAGGTCACTACATGTTTATATCTATTTTATAATTAAAACCAATATGAGACGTCTGATAAGAAAAACAAAACAAATAAAACCACATAATTGTTAATAAAAATGACATAAAAGCTGTATTTAAGATCTCTTCATCTCTGATTGTATCGAAAAGCTAATGAGTATATTGAATAAATTTTATGTTCTCTTCAATATTTGTTCTACATTATTGTTGTTAGAAGTTCATAAAAAATGTTATCACATGAGTGATACCCTATGACAGCTAGAATCATAACGTTGATTAGGCTCCTAGGGACGTTACATTGTCTAACAATTTACAATAAAAAGTATTATTTACTCATTGCATCTTCGGTACAATTGAATTTTTTAGGAAGCCTTTCGATTACCCACATTGTGTGTTGTCATCACATAGAGGATCATTACATTGAACACTATTACATAAGAGATCGCAAACAATGATTCTGTGATAAACTCTTTATGATAGTTATTAATTCACAGATGCTATTGTTATATTGTTAATTAATATTCAATCAGTACAATAGCTGACAATATGTTCAATAATCTTGTTGAAATGACGAAATTAGTGATAATATCAATAATATTATTCTACAGCATCCATGCTTTTTTATATAGTAATTGAAGCCGGAAGTAAATTAAATAAAACAATAACGATTTTTAGATTGCAGATATGATAATTGCAAAAAATAGTACACACATAGACATGTTATTAAATTATAGGTTCTCTTTCTAAAATTAAATTCAAAGAAAAAACTTAGGATCGAAAGCATGTTGCTATATAATAATAGAAAATATAAATAACTAAATGAAAGATGCCTAAAATTAATAGTGATTTTTTCTTTGTTTGCTAAAAATACTTTGTTTACAAATTACCTGTAAATTTTGGTTGAAAAAAAAAATTGAAAAAGAGTTGAATCAAATGTTATTCATACATTTTGAAAACATCTATTTAAATGCGTTATTATTGACGAAAATAATTATTAATATGATACTAAAATTGTTATGAAATCTATTTTAAACAAAGATCTCTGTAAATCTATGCGAACTCAAATAACTTGCATTGAGTGTATTCAATATTAAAATCCCATAAACAAACAATTGCATTTTGTGTTTAGTTTTTACACAATTCAAGATGTATTGAATTCTATAATTTTCATTGGGAAACAAATGACACAGATTTAAAAAAAGTTTGGCTATGCTAAGCAATCCTATGTCTATAGAGAACTAAAGTAGCTGAATTATGATTGATGAATAATATCATATATCTTTCTAATCGTGTAATATTCAAGTTATAGGTTTACTAACAATTAACAACAACAATCATATTATGTATGTTTCAATAATTGTTATACTGAAAACAATTATAGTCGTAGAAGTAATACCATTACCCTTAGATCTACTATATAATATCTATCGTATTGCGACTACATATAGCGATGTTTTATTTGCTCATAAGATTAATGTAGTGGTGGTAGCTATCCAAATAATTGGAGTAAGCATAAGGATTTTTGTAACAGAAGTCTACTATAATTATACTTGAGATTGCTGTTACACTGATATTTTTTTCAGTGTATAACACTTATGACATATTAACATTGAAATCTATATTAAAGATGTAATTACAACGGTCTATTTCAAGAAATTCCCCGGAAATGGGTTTTTACTGTAATTCCAGTAAAAATATCTCGTTTATTGTTATAAAATGTTGGTCATATGAGATTTAATAACAGGTTCCCCTTCTTCATTCCTAATCTCATTCCAATAATATAATACATCAGAAAATATTTTTTTTATTATTCGTCAATCATTTCTATCGGAAACATCCACGATGAAGCCTGTGATTATAGTGACTCTTGTAACAATTTCAATTGGAGTAAGTAAAAAAGTTGCCCTTTCCCTTCACTCAAAATTTATTTCTCTGGGATCCCATTTTTTTTCCTTAATAATCGAACATTTTACACAAAGCATGCGTTTGAATACTAAGTTATTAGTAATTTCAGATGACTTGTTTAAGATAGTCATTGCGGGTTATTATTTTTAATCTTTTTGCTTCATCTTTAATAATAATTAGAGAGATAATTAGTTCCAGCTGAGAAAAGGTTATATTACATTCAAAGGAGAATTCACACCTTCAAGTTTTAATCCTTCTTATTCTGAAACCATTCTTACTTGGAAAAATGTAAATCTATTCAATGAATTCTGAGTAGTTACATAATGCATCAGTTGAAATTTGTTCATTTTATCACATGTTATTTCTTCTTGGTGAATTTTTTACATTTGAAGTCAACTAAATGTTTCAATTATTCTATACTTTCGTAACAGGAGAAGGAAGGGTGAAGTGAAACACGAAGAAAAAGAATACAAATTAATTACTATATTCACAAGTGTTTATGATTTTTAATACATTAGTAAATTCAAAAATTGATTAAGAAAAAGTGCTATAAGCGTTTTTAAAATGATTCTATTAAATTAGTAATTTTTTTCAAGTGTTCCACTTCACCCTCTCTTCCTCAATCTTTTAAAATTTTTTTAAATTTTTTCTCGAAGTTAACAAATACTAATAATCATGAAAGATAATAATTTTACAGAATATGAATGTTTAAAAAAAAAACGGTTGATTACTACTGATCAAGTTTAAGAATGCTAATGATAATCGTGAAATAAATAGTATTGTCTGAACGTTGATGAAATTTTTTCTCGAAGTTGATATGTCAGATAGATGGTGATAATGATTTCGTTGACATGATTACATAAAAAGAACTGCTTACATCATTGTTATTAGTTACTTACATACAATGTGATAGATAGAATGATCAAGCTGATGAGTCACATCAGAAGAAAAATTCACTTGTGGATGAGTATATATAAATAAGAGTGCAGAATTTTTAATTATAATCTATTGTTTATTTCTTCGGAAAATGTACACCATGAAATCTCTATTAATATTATTCGTTATTTTTACGGCTAATTTTTACGTAAGTTATTTAAATTAACCACCAATAATACGCATCAATTATACTTTTTCCATTTGAATTAATAGGTTTTTGCTTCACCTCAAGGCAAGCCTCCTTCTGAGCAAGAATTAGAACGTGAGCGACAAATGCAAAAATGTTCCAAACAAACTGGAATCGACCATACAAAATTAACAAATGAACAAGTGCTAGGAGAAAATGTTGAACAAGAAGTAAAATGCTTTCATGCATGTATGTTTAAAGAAACAAAAATAGTGGGTTGACTAAAAATTAAATTATTATTTTGATCCAAGCAATAAATTGCTTGCAAATCCAAATAAACATTGTTTAAATTTATATTAAAAAAAATTATTAATAATTAGTAAATAATTTTTCAGATGAATGATGATGGTACAATAAACAAAGAAGTAGTTTTTAATTTCCCTCCTAACATGTCTCCAGATATCAAAGAACATTTAAAAAATTTACATGCTCCATGTATTGAGTTAAGTAAGTATAATTATGTCCATTATAATTTTATTACACATTAATAATTGTATTTTCTTAAATTCAGAGGGAGACACCGATTGTGAAACTGCTTTTCTTCTTTTCAAATGCTTGGCTACACGACAATAGGTAAGATTCGAAGTCGTCATACTGGTGATAATAAAAATCAATTTATCACCATAAAATTATATTACGTCAAATAAAAATTAAGTTTAAACCTATATTAAAATAAAATAATTATAATACTTATTGGCATAGAAATTTCAATAAACGAGAAAAACTTACCGAAATTATGTTTGAAACATAACAATAGATCACGTTCAGTTTTTAATTGGTGATTATAAACTTTTTAAAATGGGTCTTAGTTTGTGCCCTAACGACGAACTTTCCATTAATTAAAATTCGTAATTTTAATCATCTTTTAGTTTTTAACTTGCCAGTGGGAAGTTATAGTAATGGGTCCGATTTTGCGAATCGCTAATTTTGACATATCTCCACGTTTTAAGGTCCCGCGAATCCAATACGACCGTTTTCTAGTGGACGTCTGTGTGTGTGTATGTACGTATGTGCGTTCGGAATTATTTTTCGCCTCGATTATCTCGAGAACAAAAAATGATATCGATGTGGGACCACTTGCATTCGACGCGTAATTACGTAACTTAGAACTGAAAAAGTTTTCAGGAAAATCGGTAGAGCCATTTTTTTGGCAGAATCAAAAAACTGGAAAAAAAGGAAATTACCTGAATTTTGCAATTTATAAATTATACCATTTTTTAGACAAAATTTCAAGATCATTGCAGAAATATGAATATTAAATGATTGGAATACTTGTATGGATATATGATGACAATATTTCATCGAAAAAAAAAAATCTTAAAAAACAAAATCAGCAATGAAAGAATTTTAAACTCGTGTCAGGATTGAGAAAACAGCATTAAAGACGCTATAATAGTCAATAATAATTGTCAATAATATGGAATTGTGTTCATAACAATTATTGATCATAGTAATATTTAAATAATAAGTTTTAAATTGTTATAAACAATAAAAATAGGGACCCTTTCGATATATAAGAGTACTTTTAACGCATAATTTTTCCGTTTACTAAAAAAATGTTACCAACCGTATGACATAAATGAAAACGTACTTTTTTCGTGTATAACAATGAAATTCGTTGTAAATAATGAAAAAAAAGATCTATGAGGTACATTCGAATTCTTCTAACGCACAATTTTTTCTTTTACTGAAATAAAGTAACTAACCATATCAAATGAATAAAAAAAGACTCATTTCGTTTATAACAATTCCATTTGTTATAAAAAATGGAAACGGGTTCTATTCAAATTGTTTTTTTATTTTTTCCACTGGGAAGTTGGTCGTGTGGACCTTTCGGGTCGCACCCAGACCACTGCAGAGCACTGATATTTTGTTTTGTAACAAATTGCTATTATTATAAATAATATATAATTGTTTAATCACATAAAATTATTTATAATGATATTTATATTTATATTTGTTGATATTATAATAATTTAATAAATTTAAACCATTTTTAATTGTTCTTCTTATTTACAGGAATCTGGAAAGTGTATAAATGTTTCAACTGGTAATATTTATCGACCTATTATTCCTGGCATGACATTGCTAGCTGCAGATAATTTTCAAAAAACTTATTATACATAACAATAAAAAAACGATAATATTTAACTTTCATTTTGTGCAGTGAAATTACTTGATTTATTTCTATAAAAATATTTTATAAATGCAACATTTTTTTAAAAATGAGTTATCTAAAATACATTTCTGTAACAATACATATCAATAAAATTTAAATAAATAATGACCACTAAATATTTTGTTTTTTTTCATTGAGTAGTTTGCTATTAGAAGTGGTACATAAATTAAATCATAATAACTATCACTAGTAATATTGTACTGATGTACTAATTAATCCGTGACTTACAATTATAACAATACTTATATTGTATCATTTAATGAATTGAATTTATTTTAATGTAGAATTATGGATCATTTATTGTTATTACTCAATCACATTTTACTCTGTTAAATTATCATCAATGGTCACTTCCGTAAGTTTTCTTTTTATTGCAAAGAATTAAACTTTCAATATATTTGTGGGTTAGCTGATGGACGATGGCACCGTGCTTGCAAAATAAACTAATAAACCATAATAAAGACTGAACCATTATCCTACCTTCTCTTCTTATAAAAAAATCATGTATAATAGTCCCGTCAATTAGTTTTGAAAAAGGGCGAAAATTGAAAGTTCGTTGAACATAAACTGATTTTGTTGATTACGTTGTTTTTAGTGACGGCAGACATCGGTATTTTCAAGATATTGAATAAAAAAGCTTCTTTTTTTTGTGAATAACAAAGTAAATTTTGCCATGTGGTTACAAATTCATACTGATATCTACCGTCACTGAAAACAACCTAATGAATAAAATCGGTTAAGGTTCAACGGACTTTCAATTTTTGCCCTATTTTGAAGCATAATGACGGAACTATTATAATTTATCTTAATACATTTTGCTATTCAAAGAGATTTGATGCCTTCCTCTTAATTAATTGTATATGGTAGAAACTATACTTTATCTAAAGTATCGGGTCAATCCTATAATAATAGTAGCTCTAAACATAATAATTAAAATTTTATCTAGTAACAAAATATTACTTGTATAAAAAAACATTGTAAAAAATAACGCAAAGTATGATTACTTAATAATGCTCTAATTTTATTTATTTTTAATGTCTACGGATACTTCAATCATCAGCTCACTTTGAGTGTAAATTTTATCAAACAATATCATGTAAGTTATTGCATAATTTGATAAAAATGAATTTTTTTTAGTTGTATGATGATGGTCATGCTATTGAAATTTATTAATAGAACTTTTTAATAAAGTACTAATAATTTGCAAAGAACATTTTGTAATTAATGAAAAAAATTCCGGAAACAATTTTTCGCAATCAGCCTGATAACAACTTCGTGGACATCATTATAAAAAAACAGTGACTATTGTCGTGTAGCTTAAATAATAGGTTCCCCTTCCATAAATTTTAAAAGATTAAAACGCACTATTTTATAAAAAAATATCCATTCTCACAGAATATAAATAATCAAACAACAAACATCTTTCGTTACAATTTGTTTTACCGTTCAAGTGAAAACATCCATCATTATGAATGCTGCAATTGTATTTCTTGTTGTCTGTGCAGCTGCTGTAGAGGTAAGTTATTTCCATAAATTAATTACAATAATTATTATCTTTTACTGACTACTTAATATTATTCAATCACATGAACTAATTCATCTTATTATTAATAACTTTAAAAAACAGAATGTAATTATTGTTACGATAAAACATCTTAAAGTAATTAGAGCTGTAAATGTTTTATTAACTAAATTTTACAGATGAATATTGACTTACTGATCATTTCTAGGTACTTGCTGGACCTCATGGACACAATGGACATCATGAGAAAATGAAAAAAGTTATGGAAGAGTGTATTGCATCGACTGGGGCAGATCCTGAGTTAATCAAAGCTGCAAAAAATGGCGAAACTATTACCGATAAAAAAGTAAAATGCTTCACTACATGTATAGGCAAAAAAATGGGCTCAGTAAGTTGATTGTTTTCCTAATTGCATTTTTAAACTCTAGTGTAAATTTTAATAAATATTAGTATCAATATTATAAAACAATTATAACTATTAAAAATATTTTATGATTATCAATCGCTTATGCAAAATTTATTTATTTAATTTTTTTATGTACTAAGATAAATGAAGATGGCACCTTCAATAAAGAAGTGATCAATAAAATGGCAATGCATGCTCCTGAAGAACGCCGAGAAGAAATGCAACAATCACTCGCCAAATGCACTGAAATAAGTATGATTAATGCTACTACATTTTGATATTTATTAATCCATTATTAACAATATTTTTCAAATTACAGCTGGCGAAGATGAATGTGATAACGGATATCGCTTCTTCGAGTGCATACGCCCATACATGGTATAATATTATAAAATTATTATATATATGTAGATAGTATCTAGACATTGTAATTTATATTAATTTTTTTAAGAACGAATTTTCTGAAAATAAGTCTGTACTTATGCATTTCAACTTTTAAGCTTATAGTTGTTTATGATGAATGTATTTATAATCTATTTCCTAAAAATCTTTTAAGATTTATCATCCAGCATCTTATCAATGCATAAACCGTACGTAATTTGTTTTTATTTTATTGTTTATTTTAGAGACATCGCCAACGTAAACAGAACTCAGAATAAACATGGCAGTTTGATCCAATAAATATCTTCATTGGATATTGCTGACTTAATTATGTTTCCTTGCAAAAATAATAATAATATGTAACTGTTATTGAAATATCTTCTGCTTTTTATTCATATTGATCATAGATTTAAAAAATATCCTTCTCTCTTGAATTATCCCTTTATGGTTTCTTTTTATTAATAAATACTTAACTTTATTAATCATCTATTCGTTATTTTGAAACCGATAAAGTGCTAAATTTATTTATATTATTAATAAAGCACAATTCTAATTAAGTTAAAATTCACTAATTCGTCTTTAAATAATGATCTAATAATTTCATTCTGATTTTAACGCAATTTGTATAATATGTGAATAAATCCTTATAGAACTGAAGTTACTAAATTGTCATCAAAAATAATTGAATGAATAGTCCAATTTATTACATATGGTTTGATTTTATATTCATATTTCAGAAAATGTATTAATTGCTAAATATAATGAATATGTAAAAAATTATATTGATAAATCTTAAGTAATCATTATATTTAATTACTAGAAAAAATGAGCAACAAGAAATTTACATCATATTTGTATTTCACATATGTAAGGGAAAAATATTTGTTTCGGAAATGACTATTAAACATTCTAAACTAGAAGTAATTCCCTAAAAAAATGTATAGCTTGTTTCAGGGTAAAAAGCTCCATCTCTAGATAATCACCCGGAAATCCTCTCATTCTCTAGTCCAATCATCATAAGCGTACTTTGAGTAAATCTTGCATGAGACTTGGCATTTTAAAAATTATTTTCTAAAAATTACTCCAAAATAAACTTCAGCTAATGACTATGTACATGGTAATTTATCAACTATCATTATTTAATATGAATACGAAATTTATCAAGTACTTTCATCTCACTTGATTTTATTTACAATAAGCACAATGTGTGTAAAATTATTAAAAATAAATCTAATATAAAAAGACACTAACTGAAGCTAATGAAAGATAATCATAGCTATTCATTCATAGCATAACCAATGCTATAAAGTTAAATATTTATTGAGATAAATAACACCATTTTCTAAAGTGAAAATTTTATGAAGTAATTAACTGCTATTGTTATAGTGTTAGTGGTGATAAATGGAATTTTTATAAATAAAATATATTTTTAGTCGAAGGTCAGTGAATAACATAATTTTATTGTCTATAAATATATTTATCGAAAGGAAGTACTTAAAATAAAATACACTGCAAATCCCATTTTACAAACGTGTTAAAATAACACGCGTAAAGTGTGTTCAATTTAAAATGCCTATAAACAAACAATGCATGATTTGTTGACACTTTTTACACGTGTCGTAGTGCGTGAAAAATCTATAGTTTGTTTATGACATTTAACATTGAAGAGGCTTAGCGTTTTAAAAGTGTCTACAGCTTGGAATTGCAGTGTAGTGATATTCATTATCACGTAATTACCATAAAAATGTGTATTATTTGTACAAGTAAGCTTTGAATTTTATGTTCTCCCTCCCTATTTTTGTTTAAATATATTGTGGCTATTACATCAGTTGTATTAAAAATACTTCATTGGATAAATATAAATACGGTTGATTATTTTCCTTTGACATCAGTCATTTTTGTGACACCGATGCTAAAATTTACTACTTTACTGAATCATAAAGAGATCCGGTCGATTTCTGATCATAACAATTTCGTTTATCCAAAATGAAATGGAACGTTTTTCTTTCGATGATGAAATAAAGATAAAGTTATAAATGAAAGTACATATAATTTGGAAAAAATTAAAAAATAGCCATCAATAATATGACACAAGGTTTTTTTTTCACAATTAATGTATCAATATTTACTTTGATTTTTTTTTCTCGTCATTTTATTTTAACAAATAATACTGAACATAGCATAAATTATTTGAAAACTCAGAATAATTTGATTATTTTTAATTAATAGTTTTATTATTTTTCTTATTTTTTCAATGTAATATAATGATGTAAACATAGAAGATGGACATAACAGTGAAAAAAATATTATTTTATATTTAACAATTGATCAATAACTAAGAAACATTGCATGAAGGAAGGAAGCAATTAATGATATAATTGCAAGGATGATAAAATCTATGATTTTCTGACATTTTTACTAAATTGTTGAAGTAAATTGCCGAGTAAAAAATTACTTTTTCAAAAAGTATATAAGAGACATATTATTTGACCATTTGAGTTAGAATTTCAAAATTCTATAATGCGTTTGCAATTGGTTGTTTTTGCGATCACTGCCTTGGCAGTTGGTGTATGTTCATTATTTTTGTCTACTAGATTTTCATAAAATATAGTTTTAAATATTGTCAATAAATAATATTATTAACTATTCAAAAATTATGATTTTTGCTAAACTGGAATGATTAATTTGTATTTATTGTATTGTATTTAATTCAGGCATTCGGTCACGGCCATCATGGCAAGTTCAGGCAGGCATTTCATCATTGCGCAAATACTACTGAAGTTGATGGTGAAGTTTTAAAAGCATGGGTCAACAGACAACCTGTCGATGATGACAGATTGAAATGCTTCTTGGCTTGTGTAATGAAGGCAGTTGGTACAGTAAGTTTCACAATAGCTCTATTATTCCTTTTAAATGAAAAACTTTTTCCGAGAAATCTCTAGAGTTATTGTTAACCAGAATAAGTGATTTTTTTCATTACAGTATAATTTGTAAAGTTAAAATACCGAGAAAAAAATCATGTTGCTTTTTAATGTCAATACATTTTTTTAAATTTTTTTAAAACTATAAAATTTTCTTAATGTAGATGGTGAAAAAAATAAAATAATATCTTATTGATTCTATATCAAGCGAGTATTTATTTGTGCGAAGCAATTATTTACTTGATTACAAGTATTTAGATAAAAATAGAATATAAGCTTACTTGAATTTAACCAAGATAATTGTATTGTATAAATAAATAGTTTCGAATAAAAACGAAAAAATATATTCTCAGGACTGAACTTTAAATAATAATAAAAAAGGAGAACTCATGTGGAAAATTAAAGTAAAACGAATGTTCTGTGCACTACGCTTTCGTACTAATATATAGCTTACTTAATCTTCTATTTTGTTATACGTTTAATAAAACTTATGTGTGCTGCATTTTTTCACAATTTCAGAATACATTAAACTTTTTCTAAACTACAGAATATTTTTTTCATACAACAATACATCACTAATATAATTTTCAATTCTAAAACTTCAATGAATATTTAACTTTTCAGATAAACAATAATGTAATATGACATTTGATATATAGTTAAATAAATTCAGTACATATATCAAAATTTTATGTTAGATGATCATGCCTGCACATGTTATAATCTGATTAAAATCAGATAGAAGAGAAAGCAACATCAATATTGTATTTTAATTTACGTAAATTAGATTGTAAATTAATTTAATAAAAATTAATTTAATCTATTTTTTTTCATTTTTAGATGAATGAAGATGGTCAAATTATTCCTGAGAAAATCATCGCGCAAATTTCGATGCACACACACGACCGTGAAACTAAAGTTGAATCTATCGAAATTTGCAGCATTAAAAGTAAATCTAATTTAAAAAAAAAAAATATTTACAACAATTTTAATTGGTTTTTTTTTGATAATCAATAGGAGGAAAAGATGATTGTGAAACAGCTTTCTTGGTTGCAACATGTTTACGCCGTCATCATGTATGTGAATATTGATTGTATTCTGTAAATAGTGTTAAAAAGTTTTTTCGAACATTATTCAGTATAAATGCTAAATAATTAATGGCCAAATAAAAAAGAGAAGGAATAAAAAGCTTTCCCACCTTAGGTATTTGACCGTCCTCATCATAGTCAATCGTGGAAAAATTTCCAAAAATGTAAAATCGAAACAAAGGTCGATTCTGAACTTTTGAGAGCAGAACGTCGAGGTGAAGATGTCGATGATCCTCAAGTAAAATGCTTCTATGCATGCATGATGAAGAGATTGAATATTGTAAATAAAAGTTTTTAAAAACATAGTTAAATGGTTCAAAAATATTGAAATAAGTAATTAACATTTTTTTAGATGAATGATGAAGGTAAAGTCAATGTTATGAAACTCATCAACCACGTCAACATTCCTGAAGATGATGTACACCGTGTACAAAAAATTGAAATGTTCAGCACGTGTGCCAAAAAAAGTAAGTGTAATTTTCAAAACATTTAAAGTAAATTCAAGCTCTACTTAAAGCTTAATTTTTTTTCGTTAATTCCAGAGGGAACTGATGAATGCGATACTGCTTACCGTATTCGCAGATGTATCTACAAAGGTCTTACTGTGAGTATTATAATACACAACAAAAAAATTATTTTACAAGATAGATTTGATGAATCCACTTCATATTAACTCTTTTGTTTATATATTTTTAAATTTCTATTTTACAGAAAATGTTCAAATCTAATGTCCTTCCTACAACCACAACTGAAGCTCCAATGCGAGTTCCAATGGCTATTACTTCCGACAACGAATAAATATGTGCAGAATTAATTCCGAAACATTTTACATAATACAAAAGCTCAATGTCTCCCAATTGTAAATTATCAAAATCTTTATTGCGAAATCAATTCTGTAGACAAAATCGGAATAAATAATTTCCCCCAAATGATGTTTAATTTATTTCAAATTTTTTATAACTATAGTATACTTTTTTTTTGGCGGGTGCTGCTGCTCATTAATAATAGAGCACAGTAAAAATGAATTTTGCCAAAAACCTCCAATAATAAGTGTATTATTTTTATTATTTAATAACTCCATGACATTGAACAAACTATCTCTCTTTTATATCTCACAATCAGAAAAATAATTAACCAAAAAAATAAAAAATTCATTATAGATTTGTTTTTGTATCCATAGCATCAATTGTATCCAATAAAAATTCACATCATTCATTATTTTTATTATTTAATTAATCTTTTTTTGTCTAATAACACTTATGAAATAATACCTTTGTTATGCAATTGCTTGTAGAAAATCACCTGTCATCTGCTGATTACGAACAATAATGCATAGCTAATTATATGATCACTTATTATCTAGATAATGAAAGTATCATAATAAATTAATTATTACAGATGAACATAGATTAAAGAGTAAATAATAATAAAACATATATCAATAATTTATTAGAATATGTATGTAGCTATAAATTAATAATTTGAATATTAAATAGAATATCAATTATTATACTTATTTTATTATTACACCATTACTTAACTACAGATATGAGTGTAGTGTTTTTTTCAGTAAAATGCAATATAAATTTACAGCTTATTTGAGTTAACTATATGTTTTGCATTACATGCTAAGTTAGTTTTTATAACTCTGAAAGACATGCTTGTAACATTATATAATAATTTTTATTGCACATAAGAATACTGTTGAAATTTATAGCTCTCTTAGTTTTACTTATTTACGATTAATAATACATTATTTTATGGTATACCAATGGAAATTCTCATTATTACATGTGTTTCATGTATAACGAAATAAATATTTTTATTATAAATTTTTAAATTTATAATAAACTGTAAATAAAGCTACTACTTCAATCTTAATACAAAGAATCATAATATATTATTTTAACATAATGTTCTTTTATCTTTGGAACGCCTTTTTCATCAAATATAAAATTAAAGAAAAGATTCATCAAACAACAATGAAATAACTGTCCAACTACATCTTCGTTAGATTGTTTAGTAATTTATGATTGAAAAAATTATCAATAAATTGTTTATCATCGTCATTATCTAGCAAAATGTGAAAAAAATTTCAATAAATCAATTTTTAATAGCATTAAAGAATCTGAAATTCCTGAAATTGAAATGATCACTATTTAATTACGATAGTATAAAATCAGATACGATGATAGGGAGTGATCAATCGATTTTTATTCTACAGTTCATCATGTATCTTCTTAGAGTATTATCACTTGTATTGCTGGTAGTCTACACCAGTGCTGTAAGCTTTTCTTTATTTTGATAAAACATAGTACTTTGACAGTTTATTAAATTTATGTACATAAATTTGGTGTAGGATTTAACACCAGCTGATATCATGCGATTTGTAACAGTTCGTAGACAATGTGAGATGAGTAATCCAGTTGATCGTGAGGTGATTGAACGTGTAAGGCAAGCTGAATTAGTGAATGATCGTAATTTTGATTGCTATGTGTCTTGCATCTTGAAAGGTTCTAATTTCGTGAGTATTTTTTTAATATTGTTTGATGAATCATTATAATTCATTTGCAAAAGTTTATCAATTGTAATAAAATAAAAAAAATGATAATTCAGATGGGCGCCGATGGTTCTTTGAATGTTCCTTTCGCCTTAGACAAAGTACCTGAAAATTTTCCACTTCATGATGCTCTGGTCGATGCTATTAATATTTGTGGTAGCCGACGTAAGTACTTTTTTTTTAAATAAAGTAGCTTATCATTGATGCGTAACAATTAATAATATTAACGAACCCATGTAATCTAGGTGGCAATGATGAATGTTCTACAGCACATGAACTATTTATGTGTTTCCACGAACAAAATGTAAAACTTTTCTTTATTACTTCAGTAATATAATTATTAATATTTCAATTATTTATAATTCTATTTTTTAAAAAATTTCAGATTCCAAATCTTCTCCTGGGACAATTCCGAGGTTAATGTTGATTTTCAACTTATCCATTTACTCCAGAAAAATGAACTTTAAGTTTTAAATTCTCTAATTATTGAATATTTGAGAACTGAAAATTATAATATGTAGTTATTTCAATCATTGTACTTGGTGACAAATCTAATGTAGAATTAATATTTTATCGGCAGAGTTTTATATCTTTAAAATGAAAATTTATATGCTAATAAATAATAGTCAAATGACAGAGTGTTTATTTATTTACTAATTGCTGTTTTTGTTATATTCTCAAGTAGCCAAATTAACGTGAGACTGACGGCAGACTTACGTGCAGTCGAATCTCGCTAATATTAACAACTTGGGCCAGGGGCATTCGTTACTGTTAACATTTTTTCTTACCCCTACTTTTCTTAATGTCTCTCTTCTCTTATGCACATTACATGTGCAAAAAAAAATTGTGCGAAGAATTTATGTGCAGATATATATGTATGTCAATACAAATAAATTTAAAATGTGCGCCACAAAGATAAACTTGGATTAATCAATAAAAAATTTAAGAGAGGAGAAAAAATGTAACCATTACGCGACTATCTTGTCAACGTTAACGAGAGAATAACATTAACAGGAGTCACATTAGCGGGGTTCAATTGTACGTTGGCCACAGTTTGTCATTTACGTACATATGTATCTGCCATTTTCCTGAAGCGGACAGATGCAAGATTTTCGTCAGAAAATTTAATGTCACAAATTAATGACAATCTGATGCAGAACGGTAACAAACTTACGTAAGTCTGACGAAAATTCTGACGTCAGGACTGATAACTGGGGTTGATTTACGACGATTATTATTATTATTACGACATTAGGAAGTTATTGAAATTGGGTCGATTGGTGAAATTTGAATTTTCATCATATCTCCACGTTTCATAGTATTTGCAAGCATACTGACCAATTTTTAGAATGACGTCTGTGTGTACGTACGTACGTATGTATGGACGTCAGCATTTTTTTCGTTTCCGATATCTCACAAACAGATGAAAATATCGACTTCAACCAAAATTAATTCGAAAGATATTATTATAAAGAAGATCTGAGTGAAATTTAAACAAATTCGGTCAAGCCGTTTTTTTTATAACAAAATAACTAATAAAAAAATGAAAAGATTAGCTATTTAAAGTACTTTTAAGTCATACAATAACAATTTCATTTGAAAATTGAGTCGATACTGACTAGACATTATTGGTTACAACCAAATATGACTTTCAACAATTACACATTGTTTATAACAATACGAATTTGTTATAAACAATTAAAAATTGTGTTCATCTCTTACCTAATGCGTATACCCCATGGATTTGGATGCTTTTGTGACGTTCGAGCGAACGTCCCTTATTTTATTATTTGAAATTATGAGAGAAATTCAAGAAAGAATTGACAGCTAGATACTAATCTACTACTGAACTCTTCCCTGAATACCGGTAAACGAGGTTTAGTACTAACCAACGTACCAGGTACTCTGATAACTTCTTGTTTACTTATTTGTGTTCTAAGTCAGGTAACGAACACGGATTCGGATACACTTATGGTCTCGAGAAACCTAGATATGTTCTTTCAAAGGTTTCCTTTAAATGAAAGAAAGATTGAATTTTAATGATTTTTATTTTATAACTTATCAACGAAATATTGAATTAAAACAAGAAAAATATTTAAATGAATAATAATTAATAATTATATTACCGAATATATCCTTGCGGTGAGGTGTCACTTTAACTTACACTAATAAAGTTAAAACAATCAAGACTCTAGGTATGATTGATTCTGACTTTATATCCCAACTATCAGTCCAAGACCGAAGTATGGCCCTAATAATTAGGTCGAGCCTATTCAGAGTTCACTGGAGGTAAGGTAGTGTCTCTTTTTATTTTTCAACCTTACTCCGAAGCAGAGTTAAACAGCTCCCGTAGAATGTTGAAAAATAATTGAATGAAATAATTTTTAGGCTATATTCTCAACCTTACTTCGAAGCAGAGTTAAACAGCTCCCATAGAATGTTGAAGAATATAGTAAAGGATAGGTTACCAGTGAATCTGAATTTTTGGAGAAGACTGACAATTAGAGACAAGTCAGAGTCAACGCCAGAAATTAGACTAAAGATTCCCTAAAAAGCGGCCCTTTTTATGTCAAATGAGGCCCACTTACACATGTTATCATGAGATATATGTTTAGAGGTCTTGATTGTGTTAGTATGTAGACGTGGAAATCTAGTCGTGGCGTTTTTGACGTCAGTAAATTTCCACATCTATTGTTTCTAAAGTTTGGATAAGTCAACATGGTATGATCTCGTCCCCTATCTATTCATTTATAGGTGACAACTGTTGCCCTGTTGAGTCCCACAGTCAACCTCCGTTTTAACTGATGGTAAGATAGATTTCGT